CTGTCCAATTTAAAGATAGACTTGCTACTTTAACATCTTTTATTGTTATGAATTCTGATACCAAGCAACTAAATGAAAAGAAGATCTGAATTGTAACCACATTAATATAGAGAAAACAGAATCCCTAAAGAGCGCAAAAACGACACAATTGAAAAATGTTGCAGGTTCGGTTTGAGCATGTTCATGGACGGTATTGGAAAATGCAAGGTACCATCAACGCCCACCTAGCACCGGCTTAAGCAGAATTCAAGTCGGCAATAAACAAAATTGTTATAATTATATACTGATTACACAATGGCGAGACGGTATCAAGCAATCAAAATCATTAAGTAAGAGAGAAATTACAATCCTTACTATATGCAAACCAAGGTTCGGATTCATTCGCATAAAGTGTCATTATAATTTCAGTGCAGCCTTGAATCAAAATTACCAGTAATCTCTGTAATTAACTACCGGTAAATTGTTCTAAATGACCACCCTCATTAGAGAGATAATCTTTGAAACGCTGATTATTTTACAGATGTAAATTTTAATATTTTATATGTTGTAAAATATTTATGTACAAGCATATATTATGAAGAGAAACGAGAGGGTTTAAGTTAATAAAACGATCTCCTTCTTTTCTTCTACTTTCAAATAGATATTCCTTTAGGAAATGCGTAATTAACATACGATTTGAATGCAACGGTAAATATCTTTCAATGGGATTGTTATTAAACTGTTCAGGTGTTCCATTACCTAATGGTTAACATATACACGACCAGGATATATAGATATATTAAAATCTTCCTCAATTGTCACGAAAGCATGAAATGTCAATACACATTTTACATTTGATCATGTGAAAATATTTTATCTTTGCGGTCCAAATATTTTATAGGTGACAGATTAAATGATTAAGGAATTTTAACCTATATTTATCTTGAATTGGGTTATATAAATCTATTATTTAGTATTGTACAACGCCTTATATCCAAATGTCGGTACTACTTTAATTGCGGAGGTAATCGGCTTTATTATCGTACCTACCCGAAAATACTTTAGTACAATATTGAATATAAGGTTTGGTCGTTTAATACCCACGGTTGGTCTTTTCAGAAATGACGAATTCAGTGAATGCGTGAGACGTTTATATAGGGCCTAAAAATAGAACCAATCCCGGACAATAGAACATGGACAGCCCAGTAGCTATTAACCTAGTATTATTTTCATTTAAAAACCAGACTAGCTGTCTTTGTAAACCCAATATGTGAAACGGTCAGTCAGGGCGTCACGCGTAAAATTATTGTTTACGACATTCTCATTTAATTAAAATTCCACAAATATGAAATGAAATGTGTTTATAGTCATTTGTTTGATAGATAGCCTGTATCAACATATCTTTCTTTATTGTCAGCGCGTGTTATATATATATAGACAGAACTGGTGTTGTTTTTTTTAACACGCCATAAAACATCTTTTAATGTATTCATAAATAAATTGTTGATACCACATATATGGCAACACTCTTCTAAATAAATTGGTATAATGCACCCTACCTTCTTTGAATTAGCAAATTCTCAATTGTCTTTAAGTAGTTTCAGTCATTTCAGTTCCTAAATACTGAAATAGTTAACTTATTTCTGACAAAGAGATGGGCATACTGATCTGGTATATGTTGCGGACACTGACGCAACATTATCGCTACATGCATTTAAAAGGGTAAGGAGAAATCTTTTAGGCCCTTCAACACGACAGAATCGAAAATGCTGCAGGCTCGGTTTGACTGAATCTACTCATATAGGTAGTCGAAGTTAAAATCATCCGTTGAATAGTGCTTATATTACCTTTGTAACCTTTTAAATTTTAGTGATAGTACGAGTCAATTATCTTTAACAGTAACAAATTTTTTTCTTATGACACCTGTTTCCGTATCTTTAGAACTATATTACATCGTGACCAGTCTATGCTCTCTCATACGCTATTACGATACATATTTCATAAACATATATGGAACACTCTAACAAAGTGATAAAAATACAATAGAGTCCTTCTTTTAATAACTTTTCAAGAAGTGTATGCATCTAATTATATATAAGTAACCAAAATCACGTATTAAAAGCAAAACTTGGTCGGTTACTTGAAGCACTTTTCAGCGCAACATTCGTTCTTCGAGATATTTTTTCTTCTTATATTTTTTATCACATAGGATGTATTTAGACAACATGTGGTTTGTTTTACGTAACATATGTCATTCTATACCTTGAAATTAAGACATACGGTCTTTTAAGCGTATATAATCTTTGTAAAGTTTACAACTTAAATACCAAATGTTCATTCATAGTTGAACCGTAGTACTACAACCACGTTAATCAAACAGCATTGTTAGTGTTTAACTATTTACATTCTTTTCAGAATTAAACATAAATACAACTGCTTAGGGCTTTTCAGATATTTACGGTCGGTTTCATAATGTAAACTCTTCAATGAAAAGAATACCAAATAAATTGTCACGTTCTGTTGGTATAAGAACGGGGTGTATCCGTGAAAATGGTTCATATTTTTAATCATGTTTTCTCCACATAAGTGAAAAGGATATGACGCTATATGTGCCCGTAGACTGGATCTTATTTCAGTAAAATGCGCATATTATTAAACGATGAATAAGAGTACCCAACTATGTTTTTACCGCAACTCTTCCTTCTTACTGACAAAAACTGCAAAGAAGAAGACACTGTTTTGTGAGGGTAACTTTATACTATACATTTTATAGGCGGAAAATGTATTGTCCACGATAATTTTTTAACCACTTACGCCCAAATTATGATGAGAGATTAATATCCCCCACTTATGACATGGGTTTATCTTGTTCTGTGTTCTGAAACGTCTTTCATAAATTTTCGGTATTTCAATATTAAAATGGTGAAATCTAGTAGTCAACAATAAAGACCCTGGTAAGATGGCATATGGCTGGTTCAGTTTTAATTGGCCCTACAGTATTCAAGTGAAAAAGCCTCACATAAGCGTCTTTATCGTTCGGTTAGTAATATCGTGGTGAACTTACATACTATTGTTTTATGTATATGAATATACCACAGATAACATAAAAACATGTTTACTTTGTGTTTTTTTTCTCTTCTTTTTCGATGCAAATACTTTCATTTAGTTTTAAAAGGGTGTGGTTTTCGGTATAATGTTACGTTTGAAATTATCTTTTTAAATTGTACACAGTCATGTTATTTCAAAACAATTTGTTATACATCATATAAATGTTCATATCTTTACCAGCAATTTAAGCAATATCTCTAGGGTATAAAGCTATATTTTATGAAATATTTTTATGAAACTTATGCCCTGTAAAATTATGTTGTTTTCATAATTTTATGATAGAGTCTCATTCTCGAAGGAGTTGTAACAAAAAAAGTCTCTCTTATTGAACATACATGAATATTGTTAGTAATAAAATGTTGTGGGACAAAATATTATGCAGTAATTCTAAGTTGGATTATTTTACTGTTCGGCGATGATTTTGTGTATGTTCCATTGGCTCTTAAGGTCAAATTCTAACATATGAGCCGCGCCATGACAAAACCAACATAATGGGTTTGCGACCAGCATTGATCCAGACCAGCCTGCGCATCCGCGCAGTCTGATCAGGATCCATGTTGTTCGCTTTCAGTTTCTCTCCTTGTTATAGGGTTTGTAAGCGAACAGCATGGACCCTGATCAGACTGCGCGAATGCGCAGGCTGGTCTGGATCCATTCTGGTCGCAAACCCATTATGTTGGTTTTGTCGTGACGGGGCTCATATTTCTTTCATACAGGCATTTGGAACTATTTTTTTGTCAAAAATAAAATTTTAAAAAAGTGCTATATTTCTATTTTCCTTTTGTATCAATATTTGAAATAGAGAAAAACAACATAATTGAAACTGTTGCAGGCTTCGTTTGATTGTGTCTGTCCATGGACGATACTGTCAAATGCAAACTACCGTCGACGCCAACTAGCACCAGCTTAAGCAGAATTCATTATTTAAACATGAAAATGGTGAAATACTTGTGGACAATGTTTTCACTGTAGACCAAAGCACTTTAAATATAGGAATGCCGGTTACAGAAAATGCAACTTGATGTCGCTATTTTGAAACTACATAGTATTACATGAACGATATGGGAGACAACTTGTTCACAAAGACTTCCTTTTTTCAACCTAATATTAAAAAGTGATATAGGTTTATTTTAGCGAAAATGAAATACATGTATATGTAGATCGACAAATGATTATCATGTATTCAATTCAGTTGCCCGGATCATTAAGGAAAAGAAAAGATTCTTCCAAACCTTATTCTCAAGCCTACAATGACATAATGAAAATGATACACTAGCCTTTCATTAGCTGAAAGGAAATACTTCATAGTTGTGATATATATATATATTTATCAAACACATTTTAACACAAAGATCGAGGTCTGGATATATAATCCAAAATGATAAGTCATAAGTATCGTACTACATGTATATTCATCACAGCAATGTAAACTGTAAGGGAAACAACAACAACAACAACAGCAGTAATTAATAAAACATCTCCAACAAAAATCAACAACACCAACAACAATGACTCCAATATAAATTTAATTTTAATGCAAAGGGAGACTAATATAGTCATTCTTGATATAAGAAACAAGTCGTTTTCTCTCCCATTAATTATATTAACGTTAATAGCCGAGATTGTCCATCTGAATACTTTTTGTAATTTGATAAATTTTTAATCTCTAATATTTCTTTCGTTTTTAAAAGGAAGGCTGAATTCAAATTTAATTTAAGTAACTGTATAATATCAGTATGTGAATGTTATTGAACTTCCGTTACCGACAGGAAAAGAATATATATATAAAAAAAAAAAAAAAAAAAAACGAAGAAAAAAATGCACACACGGGGAAAGTAGATATACTAATAATTTTAGTTCTTTTTTATGTTACAAATTTACAAAATAATATACTAATACTATCTCATTTTTTTGCATGTTCGTATCTAACGAGACTTCGCGAGACCATATAGCCTTGAAAACGAAAATAGAAACACCGGTATTCCCAGCGTAAAACTGTGGTATTTGACGGTTTGAAATAAGTTATCAGAACTAATTAAAGTAAGTATGTTTCATCATAAATAATTGCTTAAATCGTTTAACTGTTTCATTTACTTTAAAGATATATAGGTAATGTAAACATTTAGTATAAATATTGTTTATACTAAGTTAAATATCGTTTACTACTTTCGGTTTCGTTTTGGTATAGTATAATAATGCCAATAATTTTCTAAATTCTGCTGTGTGTTTATAGATATCAGTTAAAAATAAGCAATTTGTTTCGTGTGTTACTTATATGCAAAAGATATATTCACATTCCGAGGCCGCGATCATGCGTGATAGTGTTTAAATAACACCCATTCCCAAGGAAGGAAATACCAAACTTTTCTCATCTTTTTATTTCCTTTTTAGAATGGATTGTTCTTTTACTTCTCTATGAACATACCCATGGATGAATGTAACAGAAGAAAAGGATAACATGTGTAAGTTATTTAATATCATAATAAGAATAATACATGTCAATAGTTTAGTCTCGAATGAATGTAAAATCGAAAGTTGTCAAATAGACGATTCGTTAGCAGCTAAAAGGTAAAATCTAGATTTTCAGAAATATGGGTTTATAACTTTATATGGAGGTAATTTAACATCTTCATTTTTTTGTGTTTGATATTATAATTGCAAATAATCTAACATTTTAGAAAAAAATATAATGGCCACATTGTTCAGTATGGGGTCAGTTTATAATAAACTATTTTTTTTAATAAGGTGTACGGAAAATCGTTAAATTTCACTCGTATCTTTCAATTAGCTTTTTTTGTAAATAAGAAGCTGGTAAGGTAATCATGCGTGGCTCCAAAGAGGGGTGGTGGGGATTTGGCAAGTATGTGGAACCCCTCTAAAATTTGGATATTTTGATGTCAATATCACGTAAAAACTAGTAAAGGTACAATTTAGGAACATTTTGACTCAAGATCGCCCTACTGGAAAAAAATAAATGCCAGGTCTACTCTCAGATCCCCCCCCCCGCTTTGGAATATGCATTACCGCTTCTCGGTTTTTTTTGACCCCCCCCCCCCCTCTGGCCCCGTGTCCACAAATATTTGAGGATCAGGATCAAGATCAGGATCAAAATATTCCCCATTGTTTATCCTCATAAAATGGACTAGAAAAGCATGTTTATGAAATTTTAGAATAAATTTACTGTTATGTTTGCTAAATACGGGCAATTTACAGTTGATCCAAAAATTGATCTTGATCCTAAAATCGATCCTTATTTTGATCCGAATATGTTTTGTATTTGTTTTGTTATTGTTAACAGTTGGTTTCTTTGCGAATCAACATTTTTTTTACATTTTAAATATTTACCATTTAATTCTAGCAAAACACGATTAAATTTAGTAAACATAAAACAATGAAAATAAAATCAGGATCACTTGATCCTGATCTTTTCTTAGTGAACACGAGGCCTGGTCAAAGATTCTGAATCTGCACCTGTTAATGTAAAATTTGAATAGTGATACGAAAGTAAGACTCGAACATTTCTTCCTTTTCTTCTTCGTTTTGTCGAATAATAAGGAAACGGTAGTTTATTTTTTTTCCTATGCATCATTTTCACACCAGCATATTATATAATATATGGGATGTTTATACGCTTTAGCTTTTATTCCCTGAAATTATACTCGTTTGATAACTCTCATGCATGGGAATTATCAATGAATTTCATGTGTGAAAATATCTAAGGAGTGGTGTTATCTAAACTTCCTTGCCATAACTTACTTCAGCAGGATACAAAATGTTCATTTATTCATCAACAAGCACTGCATTCACAATACCTAAATATTTCAAATACAGTTAACCCTGGGTGCTATAGACCACATGTACTTACATATTCATTTTAGTAAATACAAACGCAAAGTGATCTTTCGTACAGATTACTTATTTGGGCATAGATAAGTATTTAGATATTTATATCAAAATATGAAATATTATATAAAAAAACTATTCAGGTTTGATATGTGCTACTTGTTATTTCTGCACAAATGAAAAATTTAACGTTTTAAAATGTGCATGCGTGGATGAAATATTTTCACGAAAATCATAGTTTCTTGTAAACACTACATCTTCAAATATAATACATATATTTAAATATTTAAACACAATTAAGTTACACTTACATTAATTACATAAACAATTATTGACTGAAATATAGTTTCAAATTTCTTAATCATAGACCTTTTTACGACGTAGTCAGTTGCTAAACTGACCGGAAGAAGTATTCTCTCCCGCATGCGCAATCTGCACAAGGCAGAAACATCACACCCTACACAGAAATCATGGAGCTTTATATTATATCCGTAATAAAAGTCTCTTCAGAAATGTAGTCGACGTTCATAGACTCTAAGACACTACTGCGAAAGTTGACAGTAACCCAAGCCCCCCTCCAAAAAAAAAAAAGAACTGTTGCATAAATATGGATCTCAGGAATATTTTTTTCAGAATTCCCCAATGCGAGTATACAGACATTATTATCGTATCAATATCGTATTATCGTATCGTATCTATAGCTCTTAATTTAGCTCTTGCAATTGTAATTTTCATGAGAAACAGAAGTGATATAATATATTGTACTTTCTCGGGGTTATCTGATTAATGAATTTCCTCAAGAAAAAAGTAAAAGTTTGTTTTTTCATTTTGTATTTGTTATCAACAATTTACATATTTCAGGAATTATGCATTAGATATGGGGTCACAATACGACGATTTCGGGTCATTGCTCAGTGGAGGGTTTTCTACAGGTGACCCTTTGAGTACCATGTTTGGCGGAATACCTGATATAGGTATGGGAAGCCAACAAGGCACAAGCGGAAGTGGTTTAGAGCTTGCCCCCCTTTACAGTAGTCAAAGGCATAATACAGGAGGAAGAGACACACAATATCCTTATGGAGAAAATAACTTTTTTGGTGATTATGAAGAAGAGCAGGAGACCTATTCTAACGTTGATGCAAGTGGCTTCCATGTAGGTGTTAGAATGTCACGCACCCATCAAACACCGTTCGGGCCTGCCAGATCAAATGTTGGAATGCAAATGAGTGTTGGCCAGAATGGTGTCACTATGAGTAGTACTCGAAGAAGTTCCTTTGGATTTGGTGGGGGTGGCATGCTTATGCTTAGTTTTGGTGGCAGACCGAATCATCAGTGCCTTGGTCATAGACGGTCAGATCCTATGGGTAGTTTCTTGTCTCCATTTGGTGGTTTGTTTTCACCTTTTACTGGTTTGTTTCCACCAATGGGTAATGACCCGTCGCTTTTTGGTGTAGGAAGGCAAACAGGAACAAGTTCAGTTTACCAAGAGGAAAATGTAAGGTCGGATGGTCCAATTATTGAAGAAATAATTGATGAAGATGAAAGTACCAGTTTACAAAATGAGTATGCTGTCAATATGGAAGGTAAAGAAGAAGAAATAGACGCCTCGTTAGGATTAGGTCTGCTACCGGACATGGATTCTTCAAACGATCGCTACCAAAGTCAAAGTGTTCAAAATGGAGGGGAATTTCGGAATAACGGAATATTGAATGAGTTTGCATTTTCAGAAGACACTCAAAATACAAGAAAAGGCGGAAATATCATCGGTGGAAAGGACAAAGAAAGAAAAAATCGACGAAACAAAAATAAGAACGGAAGAAAAAGACCTCAAGTACGAGATACTCGAGAAGAGGATATGATCATTTCAGAGCCAGCAACAATTGTTAATACCGATTACGAATTAAGAGATCAACCATCACATACTTGTTATGGTTCAGAGAACACAAATCATGACATAGAATACTTGCACTCTGAAAATGTCATTGATGATAATAAATCAAGATCAAGACAAAAGTTTTCAAAACAAGAATTCAGAAACATCCCGCTCCCATTAAATGATGACTTTAACAGCTTGCCATTTCTAAGGTCCCCTGTTATTGAAGAAAGATGTCACGAAAACAGTCGTTTGGAGAGTTTAATCAATGATAGTCCTGTCAATACGCAAAGTAGAAAAAAGGTAAACAAAAATTCATGTGTAAGAGTGCGGCGTGATTCCTCTGAAAGTACTGCTTCAATGCAGGGTAAAGAAATAAATGATGAATCATCTGAATCGTGTGATATAACAACTGACGTGCTAAATATACAGTCGTTTCCCACCAAACATGCTAGTGATAGTAATAGTGTAGCCACACACAGAGAAACAACAGAGATGGTTTCAAGGAAAGACTCTTTATTGGAAAACTCAAATGATGACTTAACACAAAAACCCACCGTTTCTGTTTGTGGATCCCCGCAAAGCCCTGAGGAAAGTTCAAACATTTCGGAGAAATTACGTCACGATGACGACGAACATGTGTTTCCTTTTTCATTTAAGGAGGTAATGGCCGAAAAAAATGATGGAATTATTTTTGATACAAAAGTAAGTTTGACAGAATGTCGCAAAAGTGATGAACAAAAAGTTTTCAAAAGAGAGGCGAAATGAATTACAAATATTGGTTGATCGAAAAAGTTCAGTAAAAAGGGAAAATTTTCCTGAAGACAGTTTCCCCCAAATTTCCAGCCCGATTTTTTACTTCATGAATGCGATTTTGGGAAAGAAGCCGATCAATAAAAAAAGGGTTCAAATCAAAGATCATAAAGTTCTTTTGGGAAATGATGATTAAAGTCAAAGATGGGAAAGGGCAAAAAATTGCTATTTTGAAAAAAAAAAAAGGGAAAAATTTTACAAGTCAATAAAAGAAAAATTTTATTTTGAATAAACAACCCCAGATCTTGTAAAAAAATTTTCAAACCCCAAAAACAAAAAAACAACCAGATTTTAAACATCCAAATCAAAAGTTTTTGGAACAGGAAAAGAAGAACGGGAATAAATTTTTGAAATTTTTTTCTTTAAAAAATAAATCGAATGACTCAAAAATGGAAGAGAAAGGGAGCCGGAGAAACCCCCATGGGGAGAAAAAGGGAAAAACAATCTTATTGCTGTTTGCTATAATCTTGAAAAGCCCCGAAATACAAAGAAACCAATTACCCATTTCATGACAAACAAGGAAAGGAAAGATGAGGCTGGAAAAGATTTTCCAAAATAAATAAATTTACAAGAATCGAAAAAATCTAAGGAAATTTTTAAAAAAAATTTCCCGAAAGCACTGATCAAAGCCCAATAAGATCTTTAGAGAAAAGCTTGAGAAAAAAAACATACCAGATTTGCGTCAATTTTAATTTTTTAGGGGATTTAAGACACCAAATTTAAAAACAAATTTCTTAAAAACGAGGAAAAAAAGCATCCCCCGGGAAAAAGGGAAACATTTTTATTTAGACGTTTCATTAAAAATTTCTTAGAGAAAACCTTTTGGGAAAAGGATGGTGGGAAAACTCAGGAAAAAATCAGAACAAAAATCCCAATATCAAAACCGAAAGAAACCCTACACAAAAAGAAGGCGGGTGGGTATTTTAACTTTCCAAAAAATACATAGTAATCATCGGAGCCAAAAAGATAATGCACAATTTGGGGAAACCCAGGTCAAAAGTTTCAAAAATGCCCTCAAAAAAATGGTTTCAAATCTAATTTTAGGGTGAATTGTCCTCTGTGAGGAAAAGAAAGATCAAATGTATCGAGATAGAAAAAGGGTACAAAAAGCAGCTTTTTTCGTAAAGGGATAAAACCCACATTATGAAGATAAAATTTATTTTAGAAAAGGGGGTCTTTTAAAAAGAATATTCAAAAGGAAACCCCAACAAAAAGACACAATTTGTATAATTTGGGAAAATTAATGATTTTAAACGTTCTCCGCACAAAAGTCATGCGGAGGGGGTACAAAGGCAATCAAAGGGGGAGGGGGGCTCAATACAGCGGAAGAAAATAACAAAAAGGGAAAAAGGGAATTTGGAAAAGGAAAGTACCCAAACAATTTTCCCTTTTAAGATTTATACAAATGGGGGTACAAATTCCCCCGGGGAAAATGATACTTTCACAAAATGTCCACTTTATCGCAGAGATAAAGTCAATTAACAAAGGGCATACGCCTTTTGAAAAAAATGATCCAGAATTCCCGCCGTCCCTCATAGAAGAAACATCACCATATTTTCCTCACTTAATGTCCAGGCACAGTGTAAACAAACCCTGTATACGGGTTTTTTTCCCCCCCAAAAAGTTTAACGGTATCATTATCAAAGGATGTGTGACAAAAACCCTTTTCATTTGAAAGTAGAAAAAAAAAAAGACAGGTAAATATATAAACATACAAACGCTTATAAATTTTTTTTATCTTGTAGGGTTTTTTCCCGTTACCCTTGTCTTAATGTAGGCATTCCCTAACGGGAGTATTTTTAAAAAACTCAGAAACTTTTGGGCTTGAAAACTTTCTTAACTTTGAAAAAAAAGGAGAATTATATTTTTGCTATTCGATTTTTTCATATCTATGTATGCTATGAAAAAGATAGTTTTATGTTAAAGATTTCAAAACAGTTTGTTAAAAGTGTCGTTGAAAGGAGTTTGAATTTGCTAGAAATTGATTATTTTTGTTTTAGGTATTGATGATATTTATCAACATCCAGATTGGCAGTATCTAAATGAATACAGAGATGAAAATGGCCAATTTAAAGACCCAAAACAAAAATCAAAACGTAAAATTAACAAGAACGCTACTGTGAACACATCTAAGGCTTCTTCATCTCCAACGAGAAGTATGTTTTTTTTCCAGGTTGTAGTTTTAAATGTTGTAATTATTGAATGCAGATGTAGGAAACTACTGTTTGAGGCCGATACACAACAATGCTTATTTAATTAAGTTTATGCATATGATTTTCTTACAAAATAACGGACCCTCTTTCCTTAATTTTACAAAGTAAGCCCAAATTTTGCCTTTTTTTTCAAGTTTTAGTTTGAAACAGGTAAATTATTTTAGTACACGAATTTTGCAGCCCAAAAAAATTTTGTTATCTTAGAAAGGGGTTTAACTTGCATGTTAAACATTTATTGTGCGACTTTAAAAACAAATATTGCCTCCTTTTTAAAACAATTTTTTTCCGGTTTTTTAAAAGTATTTTTTAGGGGTTACGGTGATATAAAATTTTAAAATCCGCTTTTACATTTTAAATTTAAATAAAATTTTTTCCCCTTTGGTTTTGGAAAAAACTTCGCTTTTCCCTTGGGATTGAAAAGATTAAAGAAAATAAAATTTTTCCCCTCATTCTGTCTGTTAAATTTTCCCGGGCTGTTTTTAGGGCGTTAAAAGAATGGCCACTTAATTTGTTAAAAAAAGAGGTCATACAACTTATGGATAAAATAGAAAAAGTAAGAAATCCCTAAAGAAAGTCCAAAACAACAAAATTGAAAATGTTGCTGACTCAATTTCATTGAGCGTGTTCATGGACGATATTATCAAGTACAAACTACCGTCCACGCCTCCAGCGGTTAAACAGTTAGTTTCAGTCCATTTGCAGTTAATATACAGTCATGCTCTTAACTTTAACCACGTTAATGTCTTTAAGGAAGTTGTATAGAAATATAAGCTGTATCATGACAAATCGCGTATTTTTAATCGTCATGTATATGAGTTCAATATTTTGCACCACAAAATACAGTCAGGACTCATTACAACGACACTGTTGGTTCCCAAAGGATATGTCAGTATATCGAAATGTCAGTATATTGAATTTCATCATTCATCATGTAATGATATGCCTATTCACTGGTATCTGAACATTATGTTTTTAGGTCTGTAATAAATATCTATAATGAAAAATATTGTTTGTGTTTAGGTGTTCACTTTATTATACACATTACATAATTATTATAATACAACAATTTTATTAAAATGATAACAACTAAATAGTTAATGATTGATATGAAAATGATAAAACTTTATAAAATAAAAACCAAATACAATGATAAGACTTTAAAGTTAAACCTTTAAAAATTGATTGCACACTGTTGTATTTGTCAATTAACGAAAAAATCTTTGATACTTTTCTGAACCTCGTTTGATTTTGTATTGTTTAAAGCTGTTATGTTAATAAAAAAAGGTCACAAGTTGGCAATTGTAACAACATTCACCTGCCAACAACAGGTTGGTATTGTAATAAGGTGTAACAATAAACTGACCAAGCTACAATACCTGTTTTAACACCTTGCGGCTTTTATTAACAGCTCAATGATACGCGCGCTTGACTGACCAAGTGTCAGTTTAACGGGTACTGATTGTATAGAAAATAACACGTTTGGTTTCCAATTTTATTGTGTCGGAGTCGGAAAACGAATTTTCCGTTAAAAAGGATTAGAATAACGTTGAAAAAATTTGGTTCCCATCAATTCACTGTCGTTATTTGAATTTGTCAGTATAATGGGTTCCGATGTATTGAGTCCTGACTGTATGTACTACTGTCAAATAACAGTAAATACTACAGTAAAGCCACACATTTATCACAAAACATGAAAAAGTGCATAGTTTAGGCAAAAATAGCACAATATGGATCAGGCTTGTGCACTAATGCCATTCAAAGTTCGAAGCTATTATATTTAACTGCAATCGAGATTAAGAAAATAGAGAAAAACAGAATCCCTTAAGAAAGTTCAACACAACAAAATTGAAAATGTTGCAGGTTCGGTTTGATTGAGCCTGTTCATGGACGGTACCTGAAAGTGCAAGTTACCGTCCACGCCCCATAGCACCGGCTGAAGCAGAATTCAACATTTAAAAGGAAAATGGTGAAATTTTGAAAGTCTTACAGAGTCTTATCAGAATCTGCTAATTATGTTATTTTGTATTTCAGATGCAAGTTCATCACACAATTTTCAAGAACCACGATCAAGGGTAGAGTTTAGCGATCTAGTTGAAAGTGTGGGGCTTATCATGAAGGATGTATATCCTGACGGAAACTGTTTATTCACATCTGTATGTGACCAGTTAAGAGTCCGAGGTGACTTCTCATTCACTCCCCGAGACCTTCGCCATGCGGCTGTTGATTTCCTCCGTGAGAATCCTAATCAGGTATTTCATTGAAGTTTGAAGCTGCATGTCTCCAGATGAGCCAAAAATACTAGTATTTTAAGAAAATCAAACTTCAGTTATATATACTAATGTTATAAGTAAAGTATAAAGATTTAAATAATAACTTGCATGACTAATTTTGTAGTATTTATCACCATACCTCTACTTTTTTTGCATTACCATCTTTTTTCGTACATTGACCGAAAGTGCTGCTTGCAATTGTAATTTACAAAATAACAGACCCAGACCAATTTATTTTTTTATATTTCAGGATGATGGTACTCCTCTTTCAGAGTTCCTTGCAGATGAAGAGCGGAATTGGGAAAAATATTTACGTTCAATGAGTCGGGATGGCACCTGGGGAGACCACATTGTGATTTGGTGAGTCGCCTTAATCTCTTTATAATTCAAAGATATAAACGGATCATTGCATTCCTAAGCGTAGAATAATTGGTATCGAGTCTGATTTGAATAAAATTGATAGGTATGTTGACATTGTAAGCAATAAAAAGGAAGTTTTTTAAAAGGTTAACATGTCACGTAACTTAACACTTTTTGTCACATAGACGCGGCGCATGAGTGTAATAAAGCCATTTAATAAAACGATATTACACTAGACTAGTGTAATAACACTTTGACGTGACGTCATTTGCGCTATATATAAACATAGCGTTAACGCGCGGTAACAACACTCTAGGTGCGTCATTGAATTATGACTCTTTTTAACATTTAACCGTTCTTATTTTATATATGTGATAAATTGAATATTACATTCGTGTAGATTCAATAATAAAATTATTGAACTCGTTGAATTAAACAATATTATGCTCACCAGAGGCTCGAACAGTATGATTTTATTCAACTCGTTCAATAAATTTAGTATTAAACCTATACTCATTCAAGATCCTCTTATAAACAGTATAAATCAATAGTTTTTTATTTAATATTTAATTATTCTATTTAATCTGTTTTTTTTTCTTTAATTGGAAAAAATAATTTTGTTGAACATTCTTTAGTCACATATTTTCTATGAATACATGTTTATATGCGTAACTTTATTTAACATTCAAGGGCATTGGCACATGTACTGAATAAACGGATTGTCATATACCGGGGTGATAAGGAGTTGCATAAAACAATAGTTGAACCCACTGCGACGTTGAAAAAATCATCTACCGATGAAGATAATAATACAAGTACAACGGCCAATAAAAGTACAGATCTAAATAAGGATACTAAAGACCAGCAAGATAAACCGTTGCTGCATAAAGATGTGTATGAATTGTACCTTGGGCACATTTCAGAATCACATTACGTTAGTCTTAGACCAATGAATTGGCGTGAAGAGCTATTCGAAGGTAATTTACCACTGATTATTTAGATATAACACTTATTGTTTATATATAACACTTTATATAGGCACATTTTAGCAATTATACGAGGGATGATCAAAAATAAACCGGACTGTGACTGGCAATTGAAGAATTTTCATCCTATCACTTATTGTTATATATCACATTTAATCGGAAAACAATACCTGTAAACTGATACTATATCTAATCCGATAACGCAAATAGCTTGTCCGTAACAGCGAATTCAAAAACCATGGTAACGCACACCCGGCGCAGTGCGTAAATTCGCCTTGACATGAGGCGCTTTATGCTGCGTGTATTTTACAATATGGCACAATTAGATTTCAAAATACGCCAAAACGTCATGTACAATATCTTTGACGTTGTCAGTAAAAATGGCTTCATTTAAACCATATTTATATTTACAATCACAATTCAAACGTCACATGTTAATGAAATAGTCGCGTTAAAACTATGTCGTCGGAATGTCTCGAAAATCGATCAATAGGAAAAAATTGTCAAATGTAAGACGAGAAACTGTTTAAAACGTAGAATAAGATTATGGCTTACAAGGGAAAAGTTCCAGAAAGCCACAGCATATTTTTTGATTAGCTTAAAAGATTAAGAAAAGATAATAGAGAAATAGAAACAAGTAAGGGAGAGACAGAAAAAAGACATTTTCAAGGACGTTGGTGACGTCAATCGCCAAGACGTTGAAAAATGACAGTCGATTGACTGCGGACATTGTCAACGATGTTCGATAATAACTACGGGACGGTGCAGTCAACTCTGAGGATCTTAAAATGAAAATAGTTAATGCATTAATTACATGTATTATATTCTTGGTTTACAATTGCATCAATTATTCTCTCATTTTACGCAGTAGTCTTATGGAAAAATTGTGTCAACAATTTAACAGCCACTGTTCAAAATGGCTATGCGTTTTATTTATTTTAAAATAATGACAATTTTGATCATAGTTGTATTATTCTGTTATTTTTTCGTATGTATGATAAATTATCATTCAGCATCATTATTTTACATTATTTGTAATTTATACATAATATAGTTAATTGCATGTGCGATTTTTTCAACAATCAAGTTACAGAAGGAAATAACGGAAGTTTGCGTCATTACAGGAGTTCTTTATCACCATTCATTCTATTACAATACAATATGATACCCACTTGTACAGAAATATATATAGGCAGTGGATCCGCCGCATCAATAACATGACTGTACCACATATTGGCATACTCCGTGAATGAGTAAAGATCTGCTCCGTTAAGGACAATACGCTTGTGACGTCGTTAACGTCAATTTTAAAGTTATACCGTGCGCCACATTGCTTTACATGTGCATGCCAATAACAGCATAACTTTTTTCTTTGTTAATATTTCTTAAGCTTGTTGGTATTTTTTGTATCATTTAGAGGATAGATTCCGATTTATTTTCCGTGTATTGTTATGCAAATTCATTTAACAGGTTAAGAATCGTTTACAAAGTCCGGTTAATTTTTGATCATCCCTCGTATACGGACATTTACTATTACAGTGCCGTCATTATCATTACTGGTAGACTTTTTACAATATTCCAGTCTCTATAAATGTAGAATAAATATGTAATTCATAACTTATGAGCTCGCTTTTGAATGTTTACTCTGTGATTTTTCTTTATTTCTTAGTTCTCATAACAGTTTGCGCCCATGGGGTCAAAACTTTCTAGCCGAAGTGAAAATATGTTTGATCTATATGAACATGAGAATTGTATTCAGAAATTTAGCTGTTACTTTTATTTCTCTTAAACTGGTGATATATATATTGTACCTGTAACAAGGAGTTTCAGTTTAACCATAAGAATTACAGAACTGTTTTCATAAATAATCATCACGTATTTGAATTGTTTGTACTAATATATGGATAACAAGTTTATCATTTTCTGCTTACAACAATAAACCTTTATTGTATTTAACAGAGTTGAAGAGAAAACAAACGTCGTCTCTTGTTGGCATTAATCCAGATTCAAAAGGACTCGGTATGTAATAGATTTTTCCATAGCGTTAACATTTTCTGTCTTGACTTTTGCCTTACTTGTCTTTTTTCATAACCGTGTGACATATGATCCTTTCATATTAACTAGTCACTGTATATGTTATTAATTACTAAATAACACCATCTCTTCATTTCAAAGATTTGTACTCAAAACAGCAGGTGGTAAGTGATATGTGGCAGCTGTAAAAAGTTTCCACATAGATCATCTCATTGCTGTTATATTTTGTCCAGTACTTCGGGATCATTTGAGATTATTTACTAGTGAAGATTGAAAACAGCGTAAGCCTGTACTTGGGACGTGATATATACATGTTTAATTATCACTCATGAAACGATTGTACAATTTTCATTCTATCTTCTCCTCGTCACCCCCACCCCCCCCAAAAAAAAAAAACATTCTAATTTCGCATTTATGCAGTGTATTTTACAAAAACTAGATTTATAAAATTTAATACGATATTTCAAAAAACATTAATTTTTACTTATGTATGTAGCGTATTTTGATAAATCCAAGATAGTAATAATCGAATAGAGAAACAACTGAGAATAAAAGCTAGAGTTTCCTGGATACAAATGCACCAGTCCGTTGTTGTTTAAACACCAAAATAAAATTAAATGAAGATTTCGGCCAGTTCAGATCTAAACTAAAAGTATAACTGCCCATGTCATACGTGTAAGCATCATTTCAATCACTATGAATCGTTTGTTATACTTTTTTGCATAACATACTGTACTTTGAACGTTGTTTAGGAATCATGGTTTCCTCCAAATGCATTCGAGAAGCTTCCTAGGCTTCTTACGCCTTTCGCTATTTAAATCCATAGTCATCATTCTAAGTGTTAAAAAAAGGTTAAGTGGCTGTAAGACGAGACTATGTTGGCAAGTGTTACATTTGCAAATATGTTGTAGTTTCATACATTTTACCGCCAAATATAGACTGTATCCCCAGAGAAATTTTATATTTCATTCAATGACCTACATTTGTATATTCTCATAAGAATCAGTCGAAGCAGTTCTTGACATTTCAGAAGGGTAAATTCTGTCTTAAATTTTATATTTTGTTCTCATACTTTGAAGAACTAATTCAAATTCAAACATCGTAAATCGTCAGTCAGTCATATCGAGAGTTCAAATAAGAACATTTTTGGTCGACTGATATAACACAACTGAAAATTTTCCATGCACCGGTTTAATCAAGATATAGCATTGCAAGCTGGTGTCATTTAGAATTTAGAACATACAATAATGTGCTCATAAACAGGGTGGTGATCATGGTCTTTCCTATTACTCAACAATATGAAAACAAACAAGATCAACAAGGAAGGGCGGCGTTCAATGAACTCAACCCCCACAAAACCCAGCAACACAGGACCACTCGTTTTTTGGCCCTTAAATACGAGAAAAAGTCCTGATTAATGCTGGAGAGGCATTCTAATATCATTTATAAGTGAACAGAGTTTCTGGAAGCATTTTGATGAACACATGATTTAGTATTTATGAGGTTTCCTACTTTAAGAGCTCATTCAAATCTTAAACGTTGTTATTGGAATCTATTAGAAATTGGATTGGTGCCTTTTATCTATTTCTTTACAAGAGAATTGTATTTGAACATCTTTTGGAAAAAGCAAGTTTAATAAAATTCAAATGGTTTTGTTGTACTTATAACTGTAAAATACAATCTCACGCAAATATTCTCATCAAAAATACTGCAAAAGAAATATTTGACAAACTGACTGATGTACTGATTCTTGTACACTTACAGATTCCAATGTTGACGTTTTTGTACGAAGAGAAGCAATGACGCTTTCACCACGTGATCTTGATTTCTTTCTTAATTACTTAAGAAGAGGAAAAATTATTTTCAAATTTTCAATGCCTTCCACAATACCAACATTCATGGAAGGATTATACGTGACCAGGCACTTAATTAATGATATTGCGTATGGTTTTGATAGCAAATTGTGGGCAAATATCATGACAAAGGCAGAGTCCCACTCGCCTACATTGAATAATTATGAAAACTTTATTTTATTAACACCAAATGACACTTTAGTTACAAGAGATCGACGGAATGCAAACAAGAAAGATTTGATATTACACGATGACGGTCAAAACTTCGGAAAATTCCAACTGATACCATTGGAGCCGTCTTTATGGAAATCAAATTTAGTTTACAAAAATAGCCTGCCATTTTTGAAACGTCTTGTAAGTAAGGCAACAGATTCGTCGGGTATCTCCATGGAAAAAATTGGTTTCAAGTGTGCATCATGGCCTGATGAAGCAATGGAATGGAAGTCGCGTAAGCGCTCACATGGATGGCCCAGTCAGTCGACCTTGGAGAAGATATTTGAAACCGGTGTTAGGGTGGTGCCATCAGAAGACCAAGATGATGACAAAGTGGAAAAGTCCGTCGGCAAATGTAACAATTTTGCGAAACACCATACAAATCCACTCAAACAAACAAAAGATGAAATAAACCATTTGTCAGAAGAGTTAAAATGGGAGTTTGATTTTTGTGTTTCAGAAAGCATTCTTTGCCAGAAAGAAATTCGCCAAGCACAAAAGACATTATATTGCATTCTTGAAGCAGTGGCACAGTTTGCTTTTGCTGAAAAAACCTTGATTACTAACCATCATTTGAAAACTCTTTTGTATCTTACATGTGAGAACTGTCCCAGTGAAGAAATCAAACACCAGCCAGGAAAATGTCTATTGTATCAACTCGATCTTTTGAAAGAATTCCTGACAAGGAAGCATTTCCCTCATTACTTCATGAGGGGAAGAAATCTTATTGCGAATGCAAAGTATGATGATATAGCTTGGTATATTGAGAGGATTGAGGTTGTAGTGTCAAACCTTTTGGCAGTGTTGTATTGTGTACTTGACTATTGTACACTGCAAAATGTGTTTGATTTAGGAAACGTATTTAATGATCTCTCTGCAGTTATCTGTTCACGAAACGAAGAAGCTACAATGCCACATGATTATCCGGTTCCTCTTTGTATTATGTCACTTACTAATTTGATCAAATCAAGGATGTTTAAACGCGCAAGAACTATGTTAGATACTTGGCACAGTGAGCTTGTTTTCTCTTTCGGCAAGCAGATAGTTTCAAAGGAAGACTTTGTCAACAAAGTATTGTCAGCACTACCTTTAGAGCAGCAATGGTTATTTGCTCTTTATATTGATTGTCGGGATGGGTCTGACTATCTGCAGTTTGTTTGCAGAGGACGAGCGTGTGTTCATCTTGATAATCTTTTCGGAGATAATGTTACATCAGTCCTGTTAGAAGAGACATCTCTGCACTACGGCGAAATAAATTTGCCAACTTTGATTCTTGGTGAAAGCATGGTCACTGTTGCAAGGAGACTAGGTGATATCTTGTATAGTGAAATAGGGAGCATAAGTGCATACCAATCAGCTATCCATCATTTCCTTAAGTCAAATACACATGACTTGTTGCTGAGTATTGAAAGTGACCAGAGAAACAAGCGTGAACATTATACACACTCGAAGCTGACACATTTACGAAACATGTTTGAAGACCTTTATAACTCATATCGTGATGAAAAATGTGAATATATGTTTCGTGATTTGATGGAAATTTATGACGAACTTTGCAACTTCCTTGCCACAGAACACGATTTTGAATTTATATCAAAGCTATGGGCTTTTTTTGGTGACAATCTGCGGGCAAGAGATGCGTATCTGAAAGCGGTATCTGTGAGGGACGAGTCACATTATGTATCGACATCACTTTAATCAAAGAAGTCATTGTAAGCCTTTTACCAAGAGTTCATTTTTATATTTCAAAAAGAATCAAATACTTATAAAATCGTCCGTATTCTTTAACATTTCTTTGTCTTTCGAGCGACATTCCAGTTTTACTGGTGATTGAAAACCGCAGGATTTCTTTTGTTCATTATTTCAGGCGCGCACAGGGCCCGAGTGAAACCATTGACGTCCATGAGGCTATCTGTATTGCTATCTCATTTGAAATAATTCAAAGTCCCCTGCGGGATTCGAATCCTCAGCGGTGAAGGGCAACTGGTTCGAAGTCACTTTTTTTTCAAATAAATTTTGAAATACACCCTCTGTTACTTTCTTGTCATCGTGTATTATCATCGTTCAAGCACTTGTAATTGTTAATGTTACAAACCTTTGCAATTCTTTAAATATTTAATGACGTAAATTTCTACATTTTCTGAAATGCTTGCCATGTTACATTTTTTCACATATATTTTATTTTTAAATACTGCACAAAACCCTTGGAGAGACTATGAAATCTATTAAATTCTTACTGAATATGTCTAATTTGAATAAAAGAATGAATAATGTATGTATGACAAACTTCGCTCCCCAATACAGAAGAGAAGTTGGTCAATTCTTAAAATAAAAAACTGTCAGTTTTTAATGACACGATATATTTTAAACATAACACGTCTGCTTTGTAGAAAGTCAAAACATTTTATTCATATTGACAAGGAGACCGTGTTACAATAAACAATAATTTCTAATATAAAATTTGAGCATAGTATATCTTGCTTTTAGAGGACTTTTAGTTCGACTTTGTTACAGTCATGTTGGCGTTGGCGTTGTTGTCCGCAAATTTTGACATTGATCATAACTTTTTAGTATAAGTTATAAGCGTATTGTCTACATACTTGGCCACAACAACCCTTGGGACAAGACTTTCTAATAACCAGAATTACCTTGACCATCGGTCTTAAATGGCCTGGGCCTTTAAGGTTAATTGTCTAAATTTTGCATTTCTTTTTTAGGCTGATTTTTGAAATAAGTGGTTATAACTTTGTTTTTTTTAATAGATTGTCTTCAAACTTGAACATTATAGTCTTTTAGGATAGAGTTAACCTGACAGACCTGGACCGTCACACATAAAATTGTATTTGAAGGTCACATTATTGGGATATTCATTTTTAGCTCGACTTTTTTCTTTTTTTTTTTAAAGTAGAGGTATTGTTATAATCGGGTCGGCGTTGCCGTTGCCGTTCCCGTCCGCAAACTTGTACCTGGATCATAACTTTTTATTTCTTGGTGTATTGTCTTCATACTTGGCCACAACAACCCTTGGGACAAGAGCTTTCAGTAGACCACACTAACCTTGACCTTCATCCATAAATGACCTTGACCTTCAAGGTTAAAAGTCCAATTTTTGCTTGTTCATGCTGTTATTGGCTTTAACTTTGTTATTTTTGAATGGATTGTCTTCAAACTTGAACGTAATAATCTTCAAGGATATCCCTTAAAAATAACCAGCCAGACCTTGACCTTCACTCATAAATGACCTTGACTTTGAAGGTCAAATTATTAAAATTTTCATTTTTTTGGCTATTATTGGCTGTCACTTTGTTATTTTTGAATGGATTGTCTTCAAACTTGAACATAATTATCTTCAGGGATATCCCTTAAAAAATAACTAGACAGACCTTGACCTTCACTCATAAATGACCTTGACTTTGAAGATCAAATTATGGAAACATTCATTTTTTTGGCTATTATTGGCTGTAACTATATTATTTTTGAATGGATTGTCTTGAAACTCGAACATTATAATCTTCAAAGATAACTGTTAAAAATATACCGAAAGACCTTGACCTTCACTCATTAATGACATTGTCTTTGAAGGTCAAATTATTGAAATTTTCATTGTTTTGGCGGTAACTGACTGTAACTTTGCTATTATTGAAGGGATCAACTTCATATTATAACAGAACATTCTTAAGGACCTGACCTTTATCAAACCCAAATTTGCTTGGGCTCTTTAATGACCTTGACCTTGAAGGTTAAATTACTGAATTTTCTCAGATTTGTGCATTAAATGACCATAATTATATATTTATTGGTGTGTGTGTGTGTGTGTGTGTGTGTGTGTGTGTGTGTATATATATATATATATATATATATATATATATATATATATATATATATATATATATATATATATATATATATATATATATATATCATCATCATCATCATCATCATCATCATCATCATCATCAACAACAACAACAACAACTTATTTATAGAATTGCGTGTTACTATTTACAGAATTGCGTGTTACTGTTTTTAGAATTGCGCGTTTCTATTTTTTGGAATTGCGCGTTTCTATTTATAGAAATTCTTTGTTACTATTTTTAGAATTGCGTGTTACTATTTTTAGAATGGCGTGTTACTATTTATAGAATTGCGTGTTACTATTTATAGAATTGCGTGTTTCTATTTTTAGAATTGCGTGTTACTATTTATAGAATTGCTTGTTACTATTTATAGAATTGCGTGTTACTATTTATAAATTTGCGTGTTACTATTTATAGAATTGCGTGTTACTATTTATAGAATTGCGTGTTTCTATTTTTAGAATTGCGTGTTTCTATTTTTAGAATTGCATGTTTCTATTTTTAGAATTGCGTGTTACTATTTTTAGAATTGCTTGTTACTATTTATAGAATTTGGTGTTTCTATTTATAGAATTATGTGTTTCTATTTTTAGAAATTGCGTGTTACTATTTAAAGAAATTGCTTGTTTCTATTTTTAGAATTGCGTGTTTCTATTTTTAAAATTGCGTGTTACTATTCATAGAAATTGCGTGTTACTATTTTTAGAATTGCGTGTTTCTATTTTTAAAATTGCGTGTTACTATTTTTAGAATTGCGTGTATCTATTTTTAGAATTGCGTGTTTCTATTTTTAGAATTGCGTGTTACTATTTTTAGAATTGTGTGTTACTATTTTTAGAATTGCGTGTTACTTTTTATAGAATTGCGAGTTTCTATTTATAGAATTGCGTGTTACTGTTTTTAGAATTGCGTGTTACTATTTATAGAATTGCGCGTTTCTATTTATAGAAACTCTTTGTTACTATTTTTAGAATTGCGTGTTACTATTTTTAGAATTGCGTGTTACTGTTTATAGAATTGCGTGTTACTATTTATAGAATTGCGTGTTTCTATTTTTAGAATTGCTTGTTATTATTTATAGAATTGCGTGTTACTATTTATAGAATTGCGTGTTACTATTTATAGAATTGCGTGTTTTTATGTTTAGAATTGTGTGTTTCTTTTTTTAGAATTCTGTGTTTCTATTTTTAGAATTGCGTGTTACTATTTTTAGAATTGCGTGTTACTATTTATAGAATTAGGTGCTTCTATTTATAGAATTAGGTGTTTCTATTTATAGAATTAGGTCTTTCTATTTCTAGAAATTGTGTGTTACTATTTAAAGAAATTGCTTGTTTCTATTTTTAGAATTGCGTGTTTCTATTTTTATAATTGCGTGTTACTTTTTATAGAAATTGCGTGTTGCTATTTTTAGAATTGCGTGTTTCTATTTTTAGAATTGCTTGTTTCTATTTTGAGAATTGCGTGTTTCTATTTTTAGAATTGCGTGTTACTATTTTTAGAATTGCGTGTTACTATTTATAGAATTGCGTGTTTCTATTTATAGAATTGCGTGTTACTATTTATAGAATTGCGTGTTACTATTTATAGAATTGCTTGTTACTATTTATAGAATTGCGTGTTTCTATTTATAGAATTGCGTGTTTCTATTCATATATATATATACAAAATAGATAAACAAAACTAATGTGACAAGACAGACCAACTAAATTTATAAAAAGGAAACGTTAAGATATGTTCAAACCTTTTTATGTTTGCGTTAAGAAAAAGTAAAAAAGTCGAGCGTTGCCCCCGCCCGGCGTCGGCTCTTGTCTTTTTTATGTAACTGGCTATAGTTTGTTATTAGTCCCCTACCGGTTTACCGGAGGGGACTTTAGGTTTACCCTCCGTCCGTCTGTCCGTCAGTCCGTCCGTCTGTCCGTCCGTCAGTCCGTCCGTCCACAAAACTGGATCCCGCGATAACGCAAAAAGTACTGAAAATATTTTAATGAAACTTGATATATGGATAGATGACAGTATGGAGATTATGCACGTCTTTTTCTTTTCTTCCTATGTTGAAAATTCTGGTTGCTATGGCAACAAATAGACTGAAAATATGGCAAATTTTACACATAACCTGGATCCCGCGATAACGCAAAAAGTACTGAAAATATTTTTATGAAACTTGATATATGGATAGATGGCAGTATGGAGATTATGCACGTCTTTTTCTTTTCTTCCTATGTTGAAAATTCTGGTTGCTATGGCAACAAATAGTCTGAAAATATGGCAAATTTTACACATAACCTGGATCCAGTGATGACACGAAAAGTACTGAAAATATGTTTATGAAACTTGACATATGGGTAGATGGCAGTATGGAAATTATGCACATCCTTTTTTATCTTCCTATGTTGAAAATTCTGGTTGCTATGGCAACAAATATACTGAATTTCAAGATTTCTGATTCTAGTTTTTAAGTTTTTTCACTATAAGTTCTTTATTTCTTAAGGTATTTTCTTCAAACTTTAAATATAAGTAGCTTGTCATCAACCACATCATATGACAAGGTTTACAACTCTAGCACAAAATTTATCAGAATTACCTCCCTTTAACTTAAAATTTTCATGAAAAAAACATTGTTTTTTTTAATAACTTCTTTTTTCTGAATGTATCTACTTCAAACTTCATATAAATGTTTCTTATTGTCACTCAACATTTGTGAGTGTTCAATACTCTAGCAAGACTATTTCCAGAATTATGCCCCTTTTGAACTTAGACTTTTTTTTTGAGAAATTGGTAATTTTTACTCCAACTTCTTCAATCATGATAGGATTTTAAAAATGTTATATTTTGATAACATGGAATGTTTAAAAAATAACTTTAGAGTGTCCTTCAGTCCGTCTGTTTGTACATAAAAACTGTTTCCTGTGATCACTTTTAAAGAACTTTTTCAACAAATTTACTTAAAATAAGAACCTAAGTGAATGGCCAATGGCCCTTCAGAATGTTGCTTGGGCTACCGGTAGGGGACTTATGGATTGCTTGCAATACTATGATAATTACTTGTTAATAAATGGATTAACTTCATATTTTAACACAACATTATTTAGGAAAAGAGCTTCATATATATATATATATCAAAGTGACATTGACTCTTTAATGACCTTAACCTTGAAGGTTAAATTATCAAAATTTTTTTTACTGATTTTCGCTATAATTGACTGTGTTGGTAATTAATAAATGGATTATCTTCATACTTTGACAAACCAACTTTTTGGACAAGACCTTCTAAACGGATGACCATTACCTTGAGTGTTAAATGACCTTGACCGTCAAGGTCAAATATGTAATTCAATTTTGGCAAATTTATCATAATTTTGTTATTTACATACATACAGTATTTGATTTATACTTGCACAAAACAAGACTTACCAAACAACCCTGTTTTATAATTAAGATGAGACCTTGACCTTAAATTGACATTGACTGTAAAGGTGAAATTAATGAAATGTTATTGTCTTTTTCTGTAACTGGGTATAACTTAGTTAGTTATATATGGATTAACTTTATATTTAAGGTTATGACCTTGGTACATATCAAGCTTAAATTGACCTTGACTGATGTAGAACTTTAAACTTGAATGTTAAAATATTTAATTTTCACTGATTATCATTATAATTATGGATTAGTTTCATACTTTGACAAACCAACTTTTTGGACAATACCTTCTAAAAGGTTAAACTGACCTTGACCTTGAGCTTCAAATGATCTAGACTATCAAGGTCAAAGTATTGAATTTTGCTTAAGTTGTCATAATTTTATTTTTGTGCAGATTTCATTCATATGTGGACAAACCAACACTTGTGTCAAAACAGGCATGTAGAATAATTTAGATATGACCTTGACCTTTAAATGACCTTGACATTATTTGATTGAATTTTAATTATATTTTCTTAACTTTGTCATTTCGTAATGGAAATGATTCATATTTTAAAAGAAAAACGTGTAACTAGACAGACCTGTCAAAATTCAAAAAAATGAAAAACTTATTTTTTTTTAAGCCGTTACTGAATGAGCATTTTGTGAATAATGGCTGTTTTCATTGAAAAGCCTCGTGTTACAAGTACAAATTGCTATGAAACTGTAAAAAATACTTAATCATTCATCAAACTTGGCACAAATATTGACTGGACCATAGCCTTTGTAACTGCATGATCAATCTTAAATTTCCTGTTACCATGGCAATGAGGGGACAATTCAAAATTGCCAAAAATTACTATTTGCATTGATTTTTTTTGCATCAAAACTGATTTCAAACTTCTACAACATCTAAATAGATTGAGATAGAGTCAAAGACATTTGAGCGCTGGTTACACGTTACCTTCTGACCGACCTGAGGCCAATTTTAAAAAATAGCATCTCCCAAGTCCAAAATCTTCTTGGCGATGAGGGGAGGGGAGCTGCTGCCCTCTTCAAACCCATAGGTTGAAGGGGGTACATCCCCCCTCTGGCACCCTCTGATGTATCGTTTTGTAGGGGATGGCGCCGAAATAGTGATGACACAAGTTTTGGGGTCTAAATAGGGCATTTTTCCTCCATTTTAGGCCTTAAAAGGGGGAGGCGTGAAAAGACGTTTATATGAGGTTATGGGTTAAAGGCACATTCAGAAACGAATAGATGGTTTCGGAACATGTTAGATACTGGTTTCTGAATAAAGTAGCAATAATTGTGAATTGTATTGACATAGAAATAGCAGAATGTAAACAAAGTAGTATCTTGACTTCCGAATCACTATAACTGTACTTATTGCCACAAAAGCAACAGAAGAAAATTACAGATCAAGTAATCGCCCAATGTGTTACTTTATTTGGCAACTATAAAAGTACAACAAAAATAAAAACTTTTGTAAAATAGAAATGAAAGCATTTCTGGGGTTTAGTTGGCATTTAATTTTCTTTTAAAAGATTTGTTTAAACCGTTAATTTGTTTACTTTTAGAAAAAGGAAAAAAGTCGAGATTTGCCCCCGCCAGGCAGTGGCTCTTGTTTTAATATGTTCTCATAAATAACAAATAAATAATGATGATTCTTTATAATAAGAGTATTGCATTGAATTATGACAATTGCCACCTTGTTATTTCTTATCTGGAAAAATAGCATAAAGTAGTAGTGATAATTCATAATGAAAATAAACCTCAAAACTAAATTTAATATATTTGACTGATATTAGATATTAAACTACATTTAACAAATAACTTTATTTCCAGAATGTTACAAGCAAGATGTTCCGCAAATTCATTTGACATTTACAATGAAATATATCAGAATGAGTGATTTAATTTATCGTCTTCCAATAAGTAACAACGACGACAGAGATAACAGGGATAACGGAAAACGTGCTTCCATTGAGATGCATATTGAAGACACATATATAACAATGATTGGCGACAAGAACAAAGAAAGTACAAAGTTAAAAGTGAAAACATTGATTATTCCAAAGGACACGAAAATTTACAATAAGTCTTCAAAAAAGACATTGACTACAAAAGATTTGATCATGAATATCCAACGTTGTTCCCCTGGGAGTACTAAGTTGCAGGTGGTTGATCCAATTTGTTGGCCGAATGTCTTAGATGAAGATAATTGCCTCATACAACTTAATGATCCATCTTGGTTTCCGGAAAGCCAATCAAAGGTCACACAGCTAGCATTTCAGTGTGAATGGCCTGATGCATCGGAAGAATGGCTGAACAGAACAAGGAGGTTTAATTGGCCAAAACAGGAAGTTATAGATGAGATCAAAGTGTGCGGGTGTCGAGTAATACCGAAATGCGTTCCGACACGTGTGTATCCTAGCTCTGAATGGAAATTCACCTTTGATAAGGCTGAGGAGATATTAGAAGAAAACGCCGTGTCCGAAGACCAACTCTGTTGTTTACTTATTGTAAAAATAGCTCTTAATAGTGTAATGAACAATTTGTTCACAATTCAACAATTAAAACATGTGCTTTTCTTCTTGTGTGAAGAAACTGAGGAAGGGAAATGGAAAACTGAACTCGCGGAATGCATCTGGATTTTCCTTGATCGTCTTAAAGAATGTTTAACATGTAAACAAATGCCTAACTATTTCATGCCGTGTCTCAACTTACTGGAAAAAGCTGAAGATGAAGATGATACATTTATTTTGCGATGTATTGAATGTATTGACATTATACAAAATCATCCATTCGTAACTCTGTATTTCATATGTGATGATAGTAAATTAGTCAGTTTTGATATGAAACAAGTATTTAATACATTGGTTGAGGATAGTAGACAGTATGCATTCAAACAGGACATTGATACATCAGTTCGTCATTGCTTCTTACCAATAGTGGCAGAAGGTGTTAGTATAATAGTTAGACTTAACAGATACATGGAAGCATTGGATAAATGCCAGAAAGCCACAAATCACCTGAACATGCTTTTAAAAGAAGGGAAGAAACTTCAAGTAGAAGATGTAATATCCCATGTGATATGCCTATCCTACAGAGATATTGACAAATGGATGTTTGCCTTTGCTGCGGACCAGACATTAGGAACATTATTCACAGAAACAGTGTGTTCTGGGCGGGAAACTGTTTCATTTTTTGACTTTTTTGGCCCATTGCAAACCACCTTGCGCACGGAATCGTCAGACATTCCTATACCTCAAGATCTTGTGAGTAATCATAATCTGCCAGAAACGATATGCTATGGTTTGGAAATTCTTGAAAGAATTTGCCCACGTGAAGTTTATAGTGAAGTTATGAAGTTCTTGCTAAGCAACCACTTTCCAAAAATGGTTGAAAACGGTGGCAAGTTTCCTTTAACAATGAGATATGTTAGAATGATCCTAGATAAGATTAAGGTAAACTTACCTAAAAAAATGGAATGAATGTTCGGGATATTTTACATTAAAAACATGGCTTGCAATGTTTGAGTAAAATTGAAAATTAAGATATTTTACAATGAGCCTATACATATTGTGAGTGAATGTTGAACATTGTTGACATTTGTACAAATTTTGATTTACTATTGAACACATTAAGTTCATTTAAATTTGCATATTAAACATTACTAAGCATTATTGTGTTAGCAATTGAGTCATTATATATTGAATATTATTAGTGTCATGTGAATATACTAAATCCTTTGAAGCATATGTTGAGAATACATTTTGATGTTTGATTAAAAAAATTATTATTATTATTATTATTATTATTTGAGCATAAGTTAAGCATGTATTGAGTATATATTGAGTTACATTGAAGATGTATTCAAGGAGGACATATTAAGTACGGGGTGAGGCATAAATCAGTATATATTGAAGTATATAGATGGACATATAGAACACATTTTGAACATGTATGGGAAAATAAAGTTGAGCATTGGTTAAGAATAACAAAGCATGCTATTGATTCTTTCTTTTTATTAACAGAAGAATGATAAGATGGTTTTGACGAGCATATATATTTGTTTATACACATAAACTAATTTAGTTTGACTTTTGTTCATTATTACTAAAGGTAATTTAGTAGGTTTAACAATAATTCTGTACATGTATAACATACTAATAGTCTGCAGATTTTCATGGGCCAACATTGAAATATTTAGTCAACTTTTCGAACAGAAATATATCAATTTGCGCTAAAATATCACTTGTTTTGATTTTGTCTTAGTTTATACATGGTTGTTTTCATTTAGACAAACATTGAACAAGGTTGTGATATTTAGTCATACAATTACAATTATTGAGTTCATACAAATATAATGTAATTAACACATGTATTGTGTTTAAAATCATATTTTGTATTGTTTATCTTTCCTGATGAGGAAGGGATTTTAAGTATTATATTGTTTGAGGAACCTTTTTTGTCAACATCTAATTGCTTTGTGTCTGATTGTTAATGCATGTCCAATTATGTGAAGATAATTTGCTTACTTGAGAATTTGTGATCAGGCAAAACATGATTGTAATGTCATATTTTATTGTAAATGTATCTGTAATTAATGTATTTTAGTTGTACAGACAGATAAAGATACTTTCCAATATTTACTAAATAAGTGTCCAATATTATATTATTGGATACTTTTCCATCGAATATTTATCAAAACAGACAGTAATTTTTTCGTACTTGCAGATGTGTGAATGTGTTGTCTCAGTGTGGGACATAATTATTAATAAGACATTTAATTTATTTATCTGCTACAAAGGTGTAAACATCTTATACTTACAATATGTATATACTGAACCCTTAAATTTGAAAACTGCTGTTTGATATTGTTTATACCATACAAATGTCCCTTTAATTGATATAATATAAAGACTTTATTTCAATTGTTTAATGTATAACAGAATTCGTTCTTTGTCAGTTGAGAGAGACTGTTCATTCGTTGTAAGTTTGAGAAATAAGAAAACTTTGACATCAGTTTGTGTGTGATTTTACTCAGAAATATACTACGTTAACAGTCATGTTATGGATGGATGGATGTAAGATGTATGTATGTATGTAATGAAGGTCCATCCGCCCGCAAATGCATAAAAGCAGCATACGCTTTCAAGTACGCACCCCTTTAGAAAAAAAAAGAATGTTCAAAATTAAAATTAATGGCTACACCGCCCCGGGCGAGGCCAATTTTGACTCCAGTTCTGTAATCTGAACAATCTTGGTAGAGGTCCACTGCACAATTTTTCATGCCAAATATCTAACCAATTTATGGACTTATGGTCACCAGTCATGCCATTAAAGACTTAATTTTGAAGCACAAAGTGGTGATTATTTACCTCCATGCAATTTCCACGGAGTATTAGCCAATTTTAAGGCAATAGTAGGTCACCATACGGCGGTCAATGAGAACCTAAATGTACAGTAACCTGTGAAAATATGAGAAAAGGAGGTAGCCCGTAAAAGGGCTATTGGTGTCAATCAAATTAAGTGCCTGCCGTTCAAGCCGTCATTCGTACACGGGGCTCAGGCACCCTAGTACATCATCCCCGTCGACTCTGCCTACTTTGTAGGGCCACTCCCCTTGGCAATAGTCAGGACACCGGCAGCTGATCCACAGTTCGAAATCTGCTCTTTTTCGCCATCATAATTCTTCAATTCTTCCACGTGCCTTCTCAGCGACGTGCACGCTTCTAGGGGAAGTGAGAAGTCAGTCATGCTATTAAAAAAACATCTGTCCTATAAACGCCAGCCTTTCACAAAAACAAATATAATTTTCTATAATGTGAAATGTCTAAGCATGCATTTATCATTATTTAATGAAACGTGCTGAAGTCTGTTGATGAACTCATAAAATAAATTATATAAGGAAAATTAGTATGATATACATGTATAACATAGTATATAATTGTACGCGTATATATTATACAGAAATTAGCACTTTATTTCTGAAACAATAGTATGGAAACAATTAAAACACTGCAACAATGTATTTTCATTTAGATTATTTCTGTGTTTTTTCTCTGTTCATCGAGTGTTTTGGATAGAAACAAAGCAAAAAGCAATTTTGGATTTGTTAAATAATGATTACTTTAGGATGAAATCATGATTAAGATGGGGAAAATCTATAATCACTGATAACGAAACCACATACCTTTACTCTAATATTCCAATATATATTAAAATCCTAAACGTATAATCAAAAGTGGTGTTCTGGACATTAAATACACAAAAAATATGGTAATCATGATTTTAACCTACATGTATTTCCTTTTCCCTTCAAACGTGTATAATGGAGTTAAGAATTTGTATGGAATGCAAGTATTGATACAACTGTTCATTATAAAGATAATGGAGAACATGTTTTACTTATTGTCTTGTATGCCAAGGAATATGAAATCATCTCATCACTAACGGTTATACGTTTGGTTTGGGATTTTACTTCATATGTTATAATTAAATAGTGGAGAGTTCGGGGAGTTGTTCCTTAACAAAGAGACTGTGTCTGAGATTTACAAACGAATGAATTTTTTTTTTTTTTTTAAATATGTTCTTTTTATTTTACAATTTCATATGCATGTTTCTTATTGCAGCATGTTTTGCAATTTATTTGATAAAGAGTTGGATGATTGGCAGAATGTTTTTTACTGCAAATTTGTCATAATAAAATCAAGAGTATTGTTAATAGTTTTTGTTGTTTATTTAAAGCCACTGTACCACTGGTCGATTGGTATATTTTCTAACAATCTATTTCACCATAATAGATGATAGTTATAAATTAGATTCATAACTGATGAAAACAAATGTCTCACAAAGACAGGACATTCAATTCTTCACAGTTGTTTTATGGTGAAACAAAATCCAGCTTGAGCCTACAAAGCATTATAATTTTAAGTTAAAGAATTTTCCTGCTTTCCTTTACACACTGGAATTGTTTAGA